ACTTTTGGCACCTGCATGGATTACCTCCTCTGAGCTGGGAGAGGTGGCACAGGGGCCGAGGGCAGCGGTAGGGATAGTGGCCGAAACGCCCTTTCCTGTGGGCTGGGAGCAGCAGGAGGGATGGTGTCCGGTAAGCCCTTTCCTCTGGTCCAGGAGCAGTGGGATGGCTGCTCAGAAGCCCCTACCTCTGGACTGGGAGCAGTGGGAGGGATGGTGGCCCAGAAGCCCCTTTCTCTGGGCCAGGAGCGGTGGGACAGGAGGTGGCCCAAAAGCCCTTTCCTCTGGGCTGGGAGCAGCGGGAGGGATGATGGCCCAGAAGCCCCTTCCTCCAGGCCAGGAGTGGCAGGACAGAAGGTGGCCCAAAATCTCTTTCCTCTGGGCTGGGAGCAGTGGGAGTGATGGTGGCCAGGAAGCCCCTTCCTCTGGACCAGGAGCAGTGGGACTCAGTACCGTGGTCTGGTTGTCCGGTGTTCTCTGCATCTTTGTAGTGTGGAACCAGCTGGTTGTACAGAGGAGCAGGGGGTGGGGCGTCCAGTGGATTTTTGCCGGGGCATGCTAAGTGTGTTTCTTACTTGTAGCATATTGTTGGATCTTGCTTCTTGACCCATTCTGCCAGTCTATTTCTTTTGATTGGTGAATTGATACCATTAACATTGATGGTTATAACTGATACTTATTGACTTATTGTCATGATTTTTTCTTTTCATTGAATTCATCCCCTTTGCGTGTAATTCCTTGTCGTGCGTGATAGATTCATTGTGCTGGGCTTATTGGGGTTGTGATCCTCATTGCCTTTTCCTAGGATATTGTCTAAAACTTTTTGAAGTGTTGTTTTGGTATTCATGAAGTTCCTAAGGTTCTCTTTGTCATGAAATATCTTGTTTCTCCATCAATTTGGAAAGATAGTTTTGCAGGGTATATCAATCTGGGTTGGAGGCTGTTTTCCTTTAGGGCTTGAAATACATCATTCCAAGCTTTGTTTGCCTTGAGTGTTTGTGTAGAGAAGTCTGCTGTAATTCTGATGGGCTTTCATTTGTATGTGATTTGTTTCTTTTCTTTAACTGCTTGTAGAATTTTGTTCTACTGTTGGGTTTCTGGAAAGTTTTTTCTTGTTTTGGTACCAGGGATAGAACTCAGGACTTTGTGCTTGTGAGGTAGGCAGCAGCACCACTGAGATAAGTCCATGGCTCAGTTTTGTGGAATATTTACTATTATATATCTATGCATAGATTTTTTTTTTTTATCAAGGCTAGTTGGAGTCCTATATACCTCACTTATCTGTATGTCAAATTCTTTTCCCCTGCTTGGGAAGTTTTCTGCCCTCACTTCTGTGGACAGTTTTTTTTATGTCATCTGCATTCTCCTGTTTTTTCATTGACTCTGATCATTCTTATGTTAGTCTTCTTTGCATTGTCTAGCAGCTGCTGGATTGATTCCTCCTGGTCCCTTAGTATTTTCTTTTCTTGGTTACTAATTGCAATCTTATCTTCTATATCTGAAATTCTGTTCTCACATTGGCTCTTTCTGATGCATAAACTTTCAGTGGAGTGGTTTTTTTTTTTTTTGGTACCGGGGATTAAACTCGGGACCTTGCACTTGTGAGGCAGGCGCTGGAACCACTGAGCTAAATCCCCAGCCTCAGTGGAGTTTTTAATCTCCTGGAAATCTGTTTGCATCTGTTTGATGGATTCCACCATGTTCCTTAGTTCCTCTATTTTTTTTTATCTGTGTCCTGTCTGGATTTATTAATCATGTCTTCCACTATGGGCACAATCTGTGCTGTTATCTGAGAAATTATTTCTGATTTCATTTTTTCCAGATCTTCTTTTGTTGCCAGTTCAGGGAGTCCAGGTGGTTGAGTATCAGATTGTTCCTTCTCATTGCCCTTTGGGGTTCCCTAAGGTGATCTGGAAGTCTGGTTTTGAGTTTTGTTTATGCGTCTTCTCATTTCAAGTGTAGGGGAGCCTGAGGTGGGGGCAGGATGGATACTGCTGGCGCCCTCGAGGCTCACCTGCTCAGTGCTGGGGGCAGTGGTACAGAGGCCTGGCATATATTTTTTAAAGATGAAGAAAGTGAGGTCCAGAGAGAGGTGCCCTGACAGGCAAGAAGGTCATGCAGCAAGTTTGTGGTAAAACCAGGTGTCTGGACTCCCATGGAGTGGCCGTTTGCATCTGCACATTGGCTTGGTAAAGACCTTAGTCATCTTGATGGCTCTTGAAGTCATCCTTGGGAAGTCTTCCTGAGTCTTTCTCTTCCTCCTAGAAGCACTATGGCTTGGCACAATTTGGCAGCCTTAACCATAAGCTGGCTCTCAGCAAATTCTGAGCACTGACCTGGCTTAGGGCTGGAGAGACAGATGTTCACGATGTTTCCTTTCCCTCCTTTGTGGTCTTCCTTTGAGGACTAGAGACTGCTACTTTTGAATGGTAATCCAAACAATCTGTTTGTTTTTTTTTGTACTGGGGATCAAACTCGGGACCTTGTGCTTTCAAGGCAGGTGGCAGAACCACTGAGCTAAATCCCCGGCCCCTATATAATCGTTTTTTTAGGTTGTTTGTCTGAACTGAACCAAGAAGTAGAAGGACACAGGAGTCCTAATTATTGTCCAGTAGCTTCGAGAAGATGTTCTCAGCATGTCCATCATGAAATCTTTGCAGAGAAGCCCCCAGTTGGAGCTGTATGACAGCGGGGGTCAGGTGAACTGCACGTACTCTCTCCTGCAGGAGCAGGCGAAGTTTCCAGTGAAGGTCCCCCTTGGACGAGACCCATTATGATCTCTGGCCACAGCCGCTGCCGGCCCAGCACTATGGTTTCTCCTCCAGGAGTGGAGCAGACTGTACTGGATCTCTGCAGAAACCTCCGCCCTTGGGCCCCAGTGCCCCAATGCCAGGTCTCACGCCATTACCCGCCTGTGAGCAGGCCAGGGACACTGGGTTGAAGGGTCAGCTGGGCTTGCCACTGATCACTTTAGCCCAACCAGGCCATCTCCATGGCAATGCACGGTCACACCACAGATGGACAAACCTTCCTCCCAATCCCCCAATAAACAGTTTTTAGGTCACTCTGCAGCCCTCGGAATCTCCTGACCTTTTTGGTGGCAGATGAGGTCCTGGCTTCATCTGCGCATCAGCAGCACACTGCCCAAATCTAAGAAGAGGATCAAGATGCTGCACAACCCCCAAATCTCCAGCTTCTTCATTCAAACAGCTGATTTATTTCAGATGGTTTTCTCTTATACACAGAAAGGATCATCTTTTTTTTTTTTAAATAAAATAACTTGAAAATTTTAATTCCTATTATAAAATTTTCAACCAGATAAAGCATCATTTCTGGATAAAATAAAAGAAAAACCACTGATAACAGATCCAATTTGGGTCATTGTGGTGATAAATTGTTTTGTTTTGTTTTGGTTTTTTTTTTTTTTGGTACCAGGGATCGAACTCGGGTCCTTGTGCTTGCACAGCAGGCAGTGAAACCACTGAGCTAAATCCCCGGCCCTGTGGTGATAAATTTTGTGTGTTAAGTTGGCTGGGCAACAGTGTCAAAATATGCAGTCAAAGATTATTCTGGATGTTTCTGTGTAATGGTTATTTTTTTTAAGTGTCAACTTGCTTGGGGCTGGACTTACACAAATATTGGGTACAAACACAAACAGGACACATACTATGTAATGGAATGTTACTCAGCAATTAAAAATAATGAACTACTGATAAATGCAACAATCTTGATAATCTCAAAATAATTTATGCTAATGAATATGGCTTGATACTAAAAGACTGTATACTATATGATTTTACTTATATGACACTCAGGAAAAGGCAAATCTTTATATGATTCACAGAAATCAGATTGCAAAGAGACAGAGGTGAGAATAGGGTATTATGGACAAGCAGCACAAAGAAACTCTTTGGGGTGAAGAAAATATTCTCTGTCTTAGTTGTGGTGATGATGTGGAACTATGTATGTTTGTCAAAATTCACACAATGATAAACTAATAAGGATAATTTGTTCTGTATGTAAATTATTCTTGGCCAAATAAATTGCAGGATTAAGCTATGTGCTGTAGAACTGAAATCTGTTGTGCTACAGCTTTCCTGTGTTAAAACTTTCTTTCAACTATGAGCCTACCATAGAAAATAATGATGGAAAATAAAAGAAAAGAATGATGGAACTAACTGAATAAGTAATTTATTTAATTTGTATATTTTGTTGACTTTCTCTTTCGACTGTATTTTTAAGTTCTTTAAAAGTACTAATAGCAGACAATAAAGATTTTTGCTATTCTTAATGAGAAACTACTCAGTACCTTTATAATAAAAATTTATCAAAATTTATCTTAAATCACTGTATTTTATCAAAACTGTTCTGTAAAATTATTTCCTTTTTTACTCACTATTTTGTATTCCAATACTTCCAAGCACTAGGCTAGGAAAAGAGTTGAAGCAGGGCTATTCACTTTACATTTATTTCTTTTTTTAAAAATTTTATTTTATTGGTACATTTTAGGTATACAATATAATGACATTCATCATTGGAAATTAGTACCTTTACATAATCTCTCTTGATTCTTATTTTACTTTTATTTCTTAATTTAAATTATTATTCTACTAAATTTTTAGGATAATAGGAAACACTTTAGGTGGATTCTCTGAAAGCTAATTTATAAATTGAACCTTGGGATATTAAAATTATATTTTAAATCACTTAGAGAATAACTTTGGTGGACTTTTTTTATTATAAAAGTATTTGCCTGTAGTAGTTGGTGTCTAGCAAAATGCATTTTTTACTTCCTTTCCTTATCACTTTCTCCTTCTTTTTCTTTTTTTTTTACTTAAATTTTTTTATTGGTACATTTTAGGTATACAACACATTTACATTTCTCATTGGGAACTTGTACCTTTACATGATGCATCTTGGTTCTTATTTTTCCCCTGTTTTCTTTTGGAATTATCTATACTTTCAAAACTGTTTTGTTGACAACATACATGTGGTCCTAGAATAGTTTCTATAAGAATTTTATAAATTTTGACTCCTAAAACTTTTGAGTGTATCCTACAGGGAAAAGCATGTTGAGCCTTATATATAATAAAATTATGCCATTTTCAAATGTTTAATGACATCTTTATAATTTTATGATTAATGTTCATAGTAAAAATGTTAGACCAAAGAACTGTGCTATTAATGAAGAGTGTAACAGAAAGGCACTGGGGTGACTAGCCAATTGATTTCTTCTGGAACTGCACCTAATTTATGGTTTTTAAAACAATAGTTCTCACATTTCAGTGTACATAAAAATTCACCTAGAACTTATTTAAAATGTCAGTTCCTCAGCCCACCTCTGAATTCCTGAATCAGAAGGTCTGGAATGAAACCAGGGAATTTGCATTTTAACAAGCTCCTTGTGATTCTGATTTAGGTGGTGCAAGGTTCACACATTGAGAAATATTACTAATGTTTTTTATTCACATACTTTTCTATATGTCAGTGCAGCCTACTAAGATTTTTGTTGAAGTTTTCTTAATAGCTAAATACTTTAGCCCATCTTAAGTAGGTAAATTAATGGGGCTTGACACGTACCTGTTATGAAACTGACAGCACTATGCTAATTTGGAATAGATTAGTATTTGTAACTAGGGTTCAATGCATAAAACTTCAAGTTGTATATAATTTTAGTTTTTATATATTACTTAACAACAAAAAAAGAAAATATAGACAAACATTTAAAAAAGTCATGTCATCCATCTTCCCAGCTTTTTTTTTTTTTTTTTTGATACTGGGGATCGAACTCATCACCTTGCACTTGCAAGGCAGGTGCAGTGCCACTGAGCTAAATTCCTGGCCCATCTTCCCAGCTTTTAATAACTCCGCATATATAATACTCCCCTACTTTATAAATGTTTATTTTATGGTTTAGATCGAAAATGTCTCCCAAAGTCTCATGTTCAAAGATGATTGGACCATGGGCCGCTATACTCATCAATGGGTTAATCTATCGAGTTCATAGCTGACTGTGCTTTGGAGGGTAGAAACTGGTCAGAATAGCTGGGTCACCATGACCAGGAAGTATGATTTTTTTATCCCTGGCTTTTCTCTCTCTCTCTGCTTGCTGAGTGCCATGGGGTGAACACATTTCCTCCAACATGTCTTTCCAACATGATGTTCCTTCCTCTACACAGACCTTGGAGCCAGACAATCATGGACTGAATCCTCTTAGAACATGAGCCAAATTAAACCTCCCCTCCTTTCAGTTGTGGGTGTTGGGTATTGTGTCCAGCAATAGGAAAGCTAATATAGAAAACTGGTATTGTAAATATGAGTTCATTGCTCTGACTGTACCTGACCATGTGCTTTAGAAGCTCTTGGAACTGGTTCATGGGAGGAGTTTAGAAAGGTTTGGAAATGTGGGCTAGAGAAGCCTTAGAATACAGTAAGCAGAGCTGGACGGATGATTCTGGTAGCTCAGAAGACCAGAATGCTGGTAAGAATGTGGACAGTAAAAGACAGGCTGAGGCAATTTCAGTTGGGAAAAAGAGCTTCATTGCCAATTGAACTGGAGGTCATGTGTGTTACACTCTGGGAAAAATTTTGTTTACATTTTGCCCATGTCCTGAGACTTTGCTGGAGATTAAGATTAATTTATTAGACAGTGGAAATTTAAGCACAACTCAACATTCAGACTGTGGTACAAATACTGCTGGTTGCTTGTAGCTATAGTTATAGTGAGAATTGGGAGGAAAAGCAGAACAGAACATTTTGAAAAAAATTAAAGTTTGGCCCCAAAGGAACCATGTATAAAATTGGGTCCAACCATGAATACATGTATACAGCCATGTACAAAAGGAGGCATGGATGCTGAACAGATTATTGCTATTAAAAATAAACCAAGCATTTTGCATAGGAGTAAGAAGAAAATTACCTTCGGGGCATCTCAGAAATCAGCAAGACCACACCCATTCAGGCACAAAGGTGGAAAAGTATAAACCAAGAATGGCAAACCTTTCAGAGCTTTCAGTGACACAGCCTGCTGTGGCATGTGTGCCATGGGTTTACCACCACTAGTGTAAACCTTTCATTTGAGGAGAGAGTCTCTGTGACCCCTGCTTGAGAAGGCCCCCTTAGGGAATTAGTTCCTTGGGAATCATTTCACTGTGATCAGCCATCCAGACACCCAGAAGCTGCTGCTGCCATAGTCAAAAGGGGCCTGGGTACTGCTTGTGCTAACAGCAGACCTTGGCATTGTCCACATGATGCTGGTTTTACTGGCATGCAGAATGCAGGAGTTGTGGGGTCAGGAAAACTTCCACCCAGATTTCAAAGGAAATCCTGGGAAGCTAGGCAAGGAGCCACTGTGAGGACAGTGCATGAAGCTGTGTGAATGAAGCCAAAGGTGCTGTGGAGATACTAGGAATTCCAAGATTCCAGGAATGTGGAACATCTGCTGAGGAAAGCTGCAGGATAGGAATAGAGTCAGCCTATGAGAAAGGTCATGTGGGTTACAACTAGGAAAGCCATAGGGCTGGGGTTGCCCAAGCCCTCTGGAACTCACACTTTATCATCATGTGCCCTGAATGCTATATTTGGAGCTACAGGAATTATTTTTTGCCCTGCTGGATTCAGTCTTGCTCTGGCCTGATTCTTTTCTACCCTCCTATTCCTCCCTCCTGGAATAGCAGTGTTTACCCTATGCTATTGTACCGTGGGATTATGTAACTTGGTTTTGATTTTTACAGTGGTTCACAGATAAGTTTGTCTTGAATCTCAGAAACAAATTGGACATGGACTTTTGAAAAAATACTGGAATGTTGGAGACTTTGGGTAAAGGATTATTGTGGTTGTCATCGTATGCAGGAGAGGTATATCATGTTGGGCAGAATTATGACCTCCTGTTTATGCGGGGATTCGGTATGGTTTAAGAAGATGTGTTTGGGCATCTAAATGACTGTGTCAGCTTGACTGGCTTGGGAGCTGCCCGAGGGATCAGTGGAGTATACACTGGGACGTCGGATGGGTTATGTAGGTGTAACCCTGGGCACTAAGTTGGATCCCTTGACCCTTCCTCTCTGGCATTGTTGCCTTGTTCTGTGTTCCAGACACCATGAAATAAGCAGCCTTGCTACACTAAACACTTCAGCCATGATACTTCTGTCTTGGAGCTAGTTAACTATGGAATGAATCCTCTTAAAATGTGAGTCAAATTAGACTTTTCCTCCTTTAAGTTGTGCATGTCAGTTATTGTTTGGATCAATGGAAAAGCATATTGTCTTTTAAATATATAACATTTCAAATTTGCCTTTCCTCTCAA